GAACATGAGACCTGATTCAATCCATTCTAGTTTGCATTTTAATAGCAAGCAAAGACTACGAGGATGGGGCAGAGATAACGAGCTGTAGATAAGAGCGCTAGGAAAGCCCTGTGTCCATTTCTATAGGCTCAATCTTTGTTTTTAGTTTATAAAGTTGTATCTTCATAGAACTTCAAACCAATACCTGTAGCCTCACCTTTAAGTTATATTTCATTATATTCCTTGTCTGCCACGCTCTTTCCACACTCCTAGCTTTCTTTGTGCGACTCAGGAGTAATTTTCGTTTCTTTTTAAACCTTTCAGGAAAATGATGAAGAAGCCAAGAAGATAGCAAAGGAAGGGCAGTTGACTGCTAGGGAGCTGCTGCAGCCGCACAGACTTTACTGCTACTATTACAGCGTGCTGCAGGTCAGTGCTGAGTGTGGATCCTGCCGGCCAAACTTCCTCAGGCCTTGTGCGTGGCCGGACTGCTGCGCTTCTTGAGGGGCCGGTCCATGGAGCTCTTGCTTAGCTGAAAGCTAGGAAGCTGCTAACTTCCGCTGTGGCCACCGTATTTTGAGCTCCATTCAGTTTCACGAAAACCATTATTAGAGCCCCTGCTGATATAGATGAGAAACTCCTCCCATCTGGTCCTTGTTATCTTTTAAATGATTTTGGGTGAAGGGCAGTTCCTAGTTTAGGTATTATCTGCACCTCAGAGAGCTTTTTTTCCCTCATGCACAAAGTCCTACCCAAGTAAGACATCATTGAGCGTCTAATTCCACTCAAAATGGTCAGTCTTGTTCTCCTTATTGCCAAGATCCTACCACAGCGCGGAATCTTTTCAAAAAGTCAGAGTGGAAATCAAATATTTAGTGTGCTCTATAAAGCAAACTTATGGAAAAATATTTAAAGTACATGTAATTCTAACACCTTAGGTTTGGCTGAGTTCTGAAGTGCAAGTGTTTATTCAGAATCTGAGGCTTGATTCTTTGGGTAACTGACTGCCTTGTATTTATCAGTATAATATCATCCAGGAAGAAAAAATTAATTAAATTTTCTATAGGGAAAGTTTGTCCTCAGATGCTCATGAACACGGTTCTCATTTAAAACAAAACAAAGAAAAATAATCAATGTTAGCATTTTCCTAGAATCAGCTCTGCCCTTAAAGGGGTCTACCCCCTCCTCTGGTCTAGCTTTACTTTTAATGATCAGAGTTCTCCATCTGAAACATAAATTAGACTCATGTGTTCATGTTGGCATTTTGTTGGGGTAGACCTAATATCAGGAATGAACAGTTAAATGTACACAGAACCACAGACTGAAATATCCAAATTATAAGACTATTTCATCTAGTGGCCAGAGTGCAGGGACATGAGGACACCCGCTTCATTTTGAAATGCCTGTTATTTTGGTTTGTCACTTTGATTATTCAACAAAGTTAAATAATCATTATCAAAGAAAGGATAAATGCTGACAGGTAGGAATCTCCTCAGAGGCACTGTGGTTCAGTGATCCACTTCTCCCTCTCCATTCTGACCGCTCACCTCTGATTCCCAGCCACTTGTCTTTCAGCAGAGGCTTACTTGTTTCTCGTGTGGTGTTGAGAAAGTTACAGCAGAGCTTCCAGACTAAGACAAACTAGGAATAAAGGTTTGGTCTACTTCTGGAAAGCAGCCAATGAAGACTCTGATCACAACAGTCGGATTCGATTGTACTTAGAGTTCTTGTGGCCTGGGAACCGAGACAACGCAGCTAACAAGCTGTCTGTTCCATGTGGAGACACTTGTGTAAAAATTGTGTGGGCCCCACGCTGACTTTCTCTAACATCTCGCAAGGAAACATGAGTGAAAGGCAATAGTCCAAGGAAAGGAAATTCCTGCGAGGCAGACGTCATATATTCCTCCATCCTCCCGCCTTTTTTCACCAATTCTGATACCAGCTGTCTCTCCCACAACATTCTCTTCTCGATTTGCTAATTTCTTGGGGTGACACACAAATCTGACTGACAATACGATTGTGGAGTTTACTCAGGAAGGAACAGTTTACAGCCCAGGTTTATGAACACTCAGGACACAATTCTTTGATCAGGACTGCCTCTTTTCACCCTTTCTGCTTCTAGGATGGCTCATTTAAGCCTACTATGCTGGCAAAACTGACCAATTTCTACATTGGTGTTCCATACACCTTATTGTCATGGTCCAACTCTCATAAGAGTGCCATGTACCTTAATTATATTATCAACAAGCTTTCCAATTGCTTCGAGAGACCACAGCAGCTCATATTTGGATAGTCCTACCCATTCATGTGGTGGGCATTACAAAGACTATGGCTAGAAACGAATTTGCTGCACTACAGGCCACCCCTGGGTTTTCTAGCCACCTTTATCATTAAAGGATTAACTTCACCCCACCATCTGTCCCAGACCCATCAGGAAAAGAGGAAACTATACAGTGAGGATTCTCCCTTGTCACACTCATTTCGAGAGTAAGCATATTCATGAAAGTGTGTAAATTAATCATGTCATGCTTTTACCTCTCCTTGTTGAGATAGCCATATTCTAAACTGGCCAACCCTGTCAAATCAGTACTTTGAGGAGACAAGTAGGTTCCTTGATCTGAAGACTCTTCTGTTCCACTTGGAACTTTGTAAGTATATGCAGGTATAAACAAAGTGCAGTACCGAGCAAGCCATCAAATTGCAGCAGTTTACCCCAGCTCATTATGTCAGACATCATTCTCTCCTTTCCATTAGTGTTAGGCCAGTTTGACTCGAGAAACAAATCTAGTGACACTCGTATATGTGTAAGAAAAAGCTTCATATTATTGTGTTAGACAGGGTTCTCTAGAGAGACAAAACCAGATTGCTAATAATTATATATATATTTATTTATAAAGATAGATAACACAAGAAATAAACAGTTAAATTATAAAGCAGTTATACAGATAGATAGATATAATACACAAGAAATAAACAGCTAAATTATAAAACAGTACAAATGGCTCAGTATAATTCAAACGTGTTAGACAGTTGTGAGACACTGGCAGTCCTTCAAGTCTTGAGGGCCTCCAGGTAGTCCTCTGTAGAGAGATTCAGATTCTCTGAATCTGGCAGCCAACCAGCAAGGCAGGTCACCAACAGTCAGCCAGGTCACCGACAGTCAGTCCCCAGCTCCAGAGATGTAAACTCCAATTGTGTGGTGAGGTAGGTCTTAAAGGGACCTCAAATTACAGCAACACAGTCTAGAGGTTAGGTGGCCCACAGGGAGTGTAGCTTGCGAACTGAGGCACAGAACAAACAAGGCAGGCAGCCGCACACTGGTCCGGTGATCAAAGAGCGAGAGACAAGAAAGGCGAGGCTTGCTGAGCCATTTATCTCTCCGCCCTTCCATTAATCCCACGTGTGTTTATCGGCCAGGCTGGCACAATAAACTAACTCTCGGTTATATATCAGGAAAACATCCTAGCCCAGTCCAACTCAAGTTCATAAGTCCCTCTTCAGACTCACACAGCCACATGCAATGATGCAGAATGAAGGAACATCACAGGCTGGTGGGTGAAGTCTTGTGATCCAACGGTGGTAGCAGCATCACAGGGCTCTGCCAGGTCTCAGTGGCTCGCCAGCAGGAAAGTGAAGGTAGAGAGAGAGGGGTCAGCCTCCAGAGAGCCATTTATCTCGGTTGTACCTCCAAAGGTGGTCATCAAGCTTTGACCTGATTGACAGGCTAAACTCCTCCACTCATATCATCTTACAGGTGCCATGTTGGCACAAAAAAACCTAACTATCACAATTAAAGCCTAGCCATCCAATGTAGATCAATGGAAATCATCCATAAACTTAGGAGTCTACACACCTCCCTGTACTTCAGACCAGTTAGCTCTTTCTCCCTCTCAATCCTAGCTTGCATGGGCTATGTCACTGGGTACCAATGGACCATGTTCAAACAAAGCTAGTCTCATTGCTGCATCTCCCCCACATCTGTCCATTGAATGAAACCAGGTGGTTACCATGAGCGAGCATACTAGCGAGCCAGCTCCTGTTAATTTCAAGTCCGGGAAGGGGGTTCTTCTGGATGAGCATTGTGTTTTCTTGCAACTCCTAGTTCCTTTTTTAGTATAATGAGCCAAGTATTGACTGAAGGCACAGTAGGTTGAACAGTCTTTAGAATACCCAGGATTCATACATGTAGGTCTGTTTCACAACACTAGGTAGAAAAATGTTTAATATCCATAGTCTATTGAGATAAATACATAATCCTTGTTAAGGCATTCCAGTTTCTCTTCTTCACCTGAAATATCTTCGTATTCATAAGCATATGACCCTTGGGGCTCTGGCTAGGAAAAAACAATAGATCTTTGCTCCTTATCTGTCATCTGGCTTATCTGGGTCGAGTTTATGCCCTGAATCTCCCATTTCCCTAGGTGCGACCCCAAAATGTCTCTTAACCTTCCTTTCAGCCACTACAGGTAATAACAACCAAGGAATCCAAATGTTCATTTCTCATTTACTTTCCTTTCTCTTAAAGTTCCACGGCCCCATGAATATAGAGCCATTGCAACAAATCTCACTCCTGAAGTGAGATGGCCCGGGATGGCATCAGACCTCCAAACCGCACCAGGGGGGAGAATACAACTTAGCAGCCCAAAGCCAACTCGTGTGAGGCAGAGGCAGAATGCAGACATGCCTCTACCTCCTCATAGGACCCAGGCATTTGGTGGGAGATATAAAGGCAATAGTGGGAAGGGCCATGTCAAATAATTCACTGCGCTGCAACTTGACATCTCCTTTGTTGAGCCTTCCTACATAGAAACAAAATGATGGATTGCAATTCTTCATGAGATGATAAAATATTATGATAATGAATTCTAAAATATATCTTTGTCAGTTTCATTGGTATGTACATCTCATATCATACAATTTAATCATCCAATCATATTAAGATTTGTGCAGTCCTCACCACAATCAATTCCAGAACATTTGCTTCTCGTACTCATTGTTTGTAGTAATCAGAGCTCAGCTTTGGGTCTGACAATGCATGGGGCATAGAAATCATGCCATGAGAGTAGACATTGGGGCGGGAAGGATTCAATGGGAAGACGTGTGGACTAACATTCCTATTGCCTTCAAACACATATTTCAGAAATATGCTGCGCTCCAGTCCAGTAAACCCGAAATACGCGATGGAATGGAACGTGTTCCTCAGCCTGACGAGAGCACGTCCATCTGCCAGTGTTTCAGGAAGAAGCCTGCAAGGGAAGAACTTTAAGTCAGCCCCAGTTCACACTCCTGGGAATCTTCACTCCAGACAGCTGGACAGAATCTGAGGTGTGAGGACAGTACAGACACCTTTACCCAGCAAATTCGTTCTCATGTTGACTTTATCTAAGCTGGATACACAGACCGTAGAGCACGTATTATGAAAATTTCTGGATAGTCTTTTGTATAAGAGCTGCCATCTTCGATGCCCCAGCCTCTTTAAAAAGATAATTTGGAGGCTCATAGAAAATACAAAGGCTTGACAAAATATTAATCACCTATGAAGCGAATTATATCATACAAACTGAAAGAGAATGGAATTTTCCCACAAGCTTTTTGAAGCCCCTCCCCCTCCCCTTGTACTTGTAGGGTTATTTCTAGTCCCTGTTTATTTTCCCTCTTGAACTTCCAACTACTAGAGAATATGTTTGTATAATTTAAAAAATTGCTTCACTACATAGTTTCTCCTCTTACTGTCAGCTTTTTGACATTCTATGGTATTAGCTTCTTTTGGGTGGGTCTAATAAGAATCTTCAAAGATAATGAGGATAAATGTTATTAATTAGCAAGGAAACTGTGAAGAAGATATTTTTATAAGCACTGCTCATATATTTTTAACTAAATTGCACCAAAGTGTCAGACAAAATTCACACTTTAACATAGTAATTCCCAATCTGTCTGCCTTGTGCATCCATTATGAAGAACACAGCTATTAAAGTAGATAGGAAGTATCCTGTGGATACCAGTCATCATTTATTAACTGAATACCCAGAAGTAAACTAGCTTTTTAGGGAGCTTTATGCCTTTGTGCCTTTGAACAGGATCTCTGAAAAAAGCATGGCTATAGCTTTAGTAAAGGTGCCTTTTGGGATTCACCAATAAGCTGAGAGCAGAGCCAAGCACCCACGCCTCACTTCACCGCCTCCTCTATTCCAGCCGTGCTCCTTGCTAAGGAAGGACTTCAGAGATCTATTCTGCCGTGTAAGGAGCAGGGCAAAATGGAGGACTCGTAGCCCAGCAATTCAGTACACACGGTGAAATAATGTAACCATTTTAAAAGTAGCCGGATCTATTCTTTTTGAAGATAAATATGAACATAAAATGTTTTAACTAGGCAAAAGCTAAAGAACAATGTTAGATCAATGTGATCAAAGCCAAGAAAACAAGGCAAACTTTAATATCCACCAGTTGTTCAAAGCCACAGGTGAATAAATATAAAACAAAGGGCTAGGAGCTGGACTGAGCTCTTAAGGAATCCATGTCTCAACATATATTGTACATAGAGTTTGAGGCTTGTCAAAATTGGAATTATGAAAAGAAAGACTGCCTCACTCATACTTCCCTGCCCTTCAGCCCTTTAGCCTGTTGGCTACTTGCATTTTTAAAGAAACATTTCAGAGTTTTCTCTGTATTTACCTACTGTCAGATATATCGATATCTCTGTATTTACCTGCTGTCAGATATACCGATTGGAAGCAAGTGGAGCCAATTCAGGCCACTCCTGGGACTGGAACAGGAAGGATATGTTTGAGAAATAAATGAGTCCCTGAAGCGCTTCATCCTGTAGGGAGAGAGCACTCTTTATCTTAGACAGTGTCTTAATTACCAACTCAGTAATAGCCCTTAAAAAGAATCGGTTTATATTCCTGCATTATTGGCCTCGATTTGGTTTAGTAAAAACAGAAAAACAGCTAGGGAGTAGTACATAGGTTAAATGGGAGTATGCCTGCATACCTATACAGGTATGGTTGAGGCTATTTCTACATATTTTCAAATGCTGTGTGTTTATTCATATACATACTAGAGCACGTAGGGGGCACAGTTTTAGAAACTACTTAGATCTCAAGACTGAAGGCTAAGCACCCTAATCTGAGAGGACATCTATGAAAATAGTGCTCTACGGCTTAGCATCTGGGGTCTTAAGAGATAGTACGTGGCCACTTAAGAAGCAAATACTGGAAAATTAGAGGCTAGCGAATTTTGGGAATGATGAGGGCAACAAATGTATAGATGTGCTTTACACAATTGATCTATGTAGTGTGATGAATTGTATGAGCCCCAATAAATTGATTTAAAAAAAAAAAAAAGAAGAAGCAAATACTGATCTCTTCCCACCTGAAACAAGAGGAAGAAAACCAAAGACTCGAGGAAACAAGGAATAATAGGCTACAAGTCACAACCTCCTCTAACCTGAGACAAGAACTAGATGGTGCCCATCTACCACTACTATTCAGGCTGACTGGGACCACGATGGAAGGCCCAGGTTGGAATGAGCAAAAGGTAGAACACATTGCAAATACAGAAAGAAATAAAGGGCTTACTGATCTGAAAGAGCCTGGAGAAACCCCTGACTGTTCCCAAGACAACGTCTATCTTGAATTACTATTCTCCTGGAGGCTACCTCTTGGCCAAATGATAGGCAGCCCAGTGAAATAAACAATAACACCTGGATGATGTGCTCCTTCGAACACTCCCTCAAGGATGTTAGACCAGAGATGAGAAGGCCGGGAGGGACAAGGGGAATGGGCGGACGGGGAAGACGCTGTTCTTGGGGGCTTGCAGCCAGTGTCATAGAATAATTCATGTTTGAATGATTGATTGGGAACTAATTTGCTGTTTACTTTCAGCTGATGAACATAGAATACAAAAATAAAGACTGAAGAAGCCGTCAATGTGTTATGATGAAAGAGTTCCATGATAGTGTTCAGTGAAAATATCAGTTTACACAACCACATGTATATTGAGAAACCATTATGTTAAAAAAAGAAAGAAAAAAAGTATCCATGTGGGTAAATGTCAGGAAAAATATTTACAAATATCTGGGAAGGGGTAAAGATTGAGGGATTTTTAATATTTGCTTTATATGTTTCTATAATATTTTAATTGCTTTTACTGTAAGTATGAATCAAATTGTTTACTCGAAATGCACACCTGGGAAAAGACGAGAAAATGCATTAGGCCAAAAAATGAATATTTATATTTCGTATTATGTTGTTTCTAAGTTTAATATACCTGGGATTTTTGTATTGTAGGACGTATTACATACTTTTTAAAATAAAGTAAATTTCCTAAAGAAAAGTTTTCTAAAATTAAATTTTGTGTCTTATGATAGATTATAACTACCTATAGTCCTGATATGTCTGTAATGGAATTAGTCTAGTTTCAGTTCTGTTATTAGTCAAAATGCAAGATCAAATCTCTGAAAAGAACTTTAAGCAATACGGTTTCCTTTGTTTGTTTGTTTGTTTTTAATTTTTTTTGCAATACGGTTTCTTGAAGGAATACTACAGCTACAGTGGGCCTCAGTTTGTAAAGTTAACAATCGCTCCAAAATACAAAAAAATGATAAGCGCTTATATATAGGTGATATATTGGATAACAATAACCATACTGTAGTGTCACTGAACAAATGATAGAGTCTGATTGAAATTAAAAGTACAGAGCTTTTATTGAGAGGCAAGGCAATTTTCAAATTGTTCTAAAGGTCCAGAGGTCTCTGAGCTACGTGAACCAAAACTTCAGAGAGTTTTTCTAAGACACCACAAGGAACATCAGAAAATTCAATGATTGCTTGACATTTAGGTTAATAGTTATAAAATTAAGTGAGGATACATCTGATAGGTAGGAGATTACATATGTTTCTCAATTTTTTTTCTTCAGTTATAGATTCATAATTAAAGTGGTTACATTTGGCCTCAAAACAACCATGAGATCTCCATTTTAGGGAGAACATACATAATGCTAAAATGTATTGAGTAACTATCTGTTTTGAAAATTGTTTGGGATCCAGCTTCCTAAACAGCAAGCAAAACACTTAAGCAAGCAAAATTTCATTGTTCTCTGAAATTGTTTATCAAGTCATTTTCTCAGGGTACAGTGGAGAGTTACAAGAATGACAGGCTGCTTACTACATTCCTTATTCAGAAGTTTCCTTTGGTTCACAATGGAATTTTCGTCTCGTGGCTTAGCATAGCCCCCATATCACGCTGGAAATCTTAAATTAATGTGCAGTGCTCTTATTCCGTAGAAACTACAAGTCACACGTAGGCTGTTCAGTCCTGGAGCTAGACTTCCCAAGCGTTTTGTGAAAATGGTCTTTCGAGGATAGGGTTAGTTCGTGCAAGAACAGAGCAGCTGTAGTCCTGACTTTCCACCTGCACATCCTCCACGAGACAGTGAAGAGTAACTCAATACCAGTGGGTCTTAGTTTTTATTTCTGCAAAAACAAAATGGAGCTCAGTCTGCACCCTGGCTAGAAGCCTCTCCTGAGCCAATCACCTATATTTAGGGATTCTTCCACATGTAGCTTCACAGTTACATGGGCCCACACTCCTACAACCAGCACTTCAATGGGCAGACATCTAATCTTAAGGAAAAGCTATTTGAGCTTGACACCATAATTTTCATTTGTGAGACTACAACCCAGAGTCAGGAGAAGGCAAATGTTTCCCTAGCACCATCCAGGCCAAGGATTGAAGAAAGACAGAATTCTTGTGTGGAGGGAAAGGAAATCATCCTGTGGTGAGGTGTATTTGACTTCAAATAGTTGAGGCGAAAACTGGTCAGATTCTAGAATAAAAATCCTTTTGGAACCCATTGAGTTTAAAACTAAGTCTTTCCTATGCTAAATTATCTCTGTTGTGTGAAGGGATGAGGGAACCACTGATTTTTAAGTTGACGACCTGACACTGTCATGCTTCTTAAACATAAGAAAGTTAAGAGATTGATGTTTCTTTGTCCTATAGGAAGAGATAGCAGATTCTGGAAGGGGAGCTGCCCATATAGAGGCAGGCATGACAGCCTCAAGTGAGGAGGGGAAGGGAAGAGAGTTAAAAACAAAAGAGGAATATTCTTGTGAGCCATTCTTGGAAACTAAGGACCACCTGAAATCGGAGGCTTGGTATGAAGGGAATTCAAAGCAGTGTTAGCCCACATCTCAGGGATTAGGAAAAACTCCTGACCCTTTAAGTAAAGATACGCATTAGTATCTACACCCCATCCAATTTAGTTTGGGCCATGTGGTAAAGGGATATTTTAAATAGGCAAAGATGTTTTTAAGAGTTCACTACCCACACATTTATTACAAATTAAAAAAAACAAACCTCCAAACACTGCTATCGAGTTGATTCCGACTCATACAGAGCCTATGGGAGAGAGCTGAACTGCCCTTGCAAGTTTCCAAATTGTAACAGGAGTAAAATCTTCATCTTTCTTTTACAGAACTGCCGGTGTACTCAAACTACTGACCTTGTGATTCGGTGCCCATCTCCTAATTCATGACCCCACCAGGACTCCTCTACTATGAATGAACTCTCCCAGCCATTGAGTCGATTTCAACTCCTAACAATCCTATAGGACAGAGTAGAATTGTGCCTGTGGGTTTCCAAGATTGTAACTTTTTACCAAAGTAGAAGCCTCTTCTGTCTCCTCTCAGAGTGGCTGGTGGTTTTGAACTTATGATCTTGAAGTTAGCAGCCCAAAACTAACCCAGTATACCACTAAACCTAGAGAGAGCAGCAATTGCATTAATGAGTATCAATAATACATTAATTCATTTTACTTGGCTCTACAATCAATAATCATGGAAGGATAGGTTAAGAAATCAAATGACATAATGTCTTGGGCAAATCTGATGAAAAGACCCCTTTCAAATGTTAAAAAGCAAAGATGTCACTTTGAAGTCTAATGCTCATCTGCCACGACCATGGCATTTCCAACCCACTCATTTGCATGTGAAATCTGGCTAGTAAATAAGGAAGACCATTGAGAATTGGTGCCTTTGGAGTCTGGTGTTGGTGAAGAATACTGAATATACCATAGACTTCCAGAAGAAGGAATGCATCTGCCTTGGAAGAAGGTCCATGATATGCTCTTAAGAATGAAGGGCATTGAGACTTCATCTTACATTCTTTGGACATGTTATTAGGAGTGCCCAGTCCCTTGAGAAGGACAACATGCATAGTAAAGCAGAGGGTTAATCAAAAAAAGGAAGACCCCTAACAAGACAGCAAGGCACTAGGCAGTTTTTGTTCTATTGTACACCACTGCACTTGTGTTAGGCTGGATTGACAAGAAAAACAAATCCAGAGACACTCATAATGTGTAAGAGAGAGCTTTAAACGCAAGAACATTTTGTTCTAATAACCCGGCACTCTGTGATGCTCACCTTCCCTGACACGTCGCTGAGGACAAAATGGGTGCATAAACAAATGTGGTGAAGGAAGCTGATGGTACCTGGCTATCAAAAGATATAGCATTTGGGGTCTTACAGGCTTGAAGATAAACAAGTGTCTATCTAGCTAAAAAGCACCAAAGCCCACATGGAAGAAGGACCCCAGCCTGTGTAATTGTGAGATGTCGACGGGATCAGGTATCAGGCATCAAAGACACAAAACAAAATCATATCGATGTGAATGAGGGGGAGGGAAGAGTGGAGACCCAAAGCCCATCTATAGACAACTGGACATCCCCTGTCAGAAGAGCCACAGGGAAGAGATGAGCCAGGGTGCAGTATAGCACCAATGAAACACACAACTTTATTGCTAGTCCTTTAATGCTTCCCCCCCATACACAATGATGACGTATGGCCCCCTCCCAGGGGGATGGGCAAGAGGAAAGTGGGTGAAGGGAAACAGTGGTCAGTGTAAGACATAAAAAATAAATTATCCAGGGTTCATGGAGGAGGGAAAGTTGGGGGAGAAGGGGAAAAAATGAGGAACTGAAACCGAGGACTCAAGTAGAAAGACAATGTTTTGAAAATTATCAAGTATAAATGTGCTTGACACAATGGATATATGTGTGGATTGTGATAAGAGCTGTATGAGGCCCCAATAAAATGATTTTTTTTTTTAAAAAGAGAGAGAGCTTTATATCAAAAAGTAGTTATTATCAGGAGAACATCCCAGCCCAGTCCAGATCAAGTCTATAAGTCCAATACTAGTCCAGAAATTCCCTTTCAGACTCACACAGCCACAAGTAATGATGCAAAATGCAGAAAAATGACAGGTTCCTGGGTGGAAACTCTTGTGGATCAAACTGCGGTAGAAGTATCACAGGGCTGACACAGGCCTGTGGCCCACAGGCATGAAGATGAAGGCGGAGAGAAGGGGCGATTTCCAGAACCTTCCTTATGAGCAGGACACGCCCACAGGAAGAACCATCAGGCTGTGACCTGATTGACAGGCTAGACTCCACCCCTACACTTCAAGCTGACACGAAATTATGTAACTACCACACCACTCTATTAATCCGTTTCAAAATGGGCTCAATGGCACTTCGCAAGTACCAAGTTTCAGATGACAATGAACCAGCTGTAGAGGCATGAAAGTTATTCCCTAAACACATCACCTCACCTCCTTGACTTTCCCTTCCCCAGAGAGTAATCCTACCACCACCTGAATCAACTGTCACTAGGGGACAGAAGGGACTCAGACCACACTGAGTGATGCTGCCAGTCGGGTTGACACCGAAATGATTACAAAAATGCTGTGCATTGTTTCAGCAAAAAATTAATGTTTGCAAAGTCCACAGAGAAGAAGCACACGAGCCTGCGCGAACCCGACGTGCTGAAGGGAACAGGCAGCAGACACCAAATAACAAAAACCATCACTG